AGTTTTGTCTTTGTTCCAGTAAGTTTTATAGGAGAAATAGTTTGAAAGAACAAGAAGTCTCTGAAGTAAAGAATCCATGCAAAGAAAAAAGAAAAAAAACCCAGTAAACAAACAAAAATACAAACAAAACAACACAAAACAACAACAAAAACAAAAACAACAAATCTCTCGAAAGAGGAGTAACTTTGCTTAAAATACATAAAACGCGTTTTCTAACGAGAAAATAGACCTTATTTGTCACAAAATGAATGTAACTTATTTCCTTCTTTGTTGTTGGTTTTAGATCATGAAAGCGTTGGATGTTATCGAGACACCTCGGATCGTGCAATCCAGCCTCTGGAAGGAAGAGATTCTGTCCTGGATGTGGAGTACTGGTATCGAAGAAATCCTACTTCAAAGTGCGCCGTGGCGGCCATGAGTGCGGGTTACAGCATGTTTGCAGTTCAGAATGGTGGATGGTGCGCTTCTAGTTCCTTGGCTGCTAAGACCTTCAGCAAGTACGGCAGATCGTCTGATTGTAGGCCAGATGGCGAAGGTGGACCTCGGGCCAACCAAGTTTATTACATCAAAGGTCAGTAAAGAGTTACACTTTCATCAGCATTCATATCCATTGTCTGTTCACTTTACAGGGCCAGTCACCAGAAGCCGAGGGTGGGACGCATTTGCAGTTTGTAAGCGGAGTAAAAAGATTAATATTGTTTCAATACGTGTCCGCACAACTGGCAGTGCGACTAAACATTATTGACCAAATAATTTGGATATATCAACAAAGTTGAAATGGTAAATTGGCCACCGTAACGATTACAAAAGCTGACGTTTCGAGCGTTAGCCCTTCGTCGGAGCGTTAGCCCTTCGCCCCTTGCTCCAACGAAGGGCTAACACTCGAAACGTCAGCTTTTGTAATCGTTACGGTGGCCAATTTACCATTTCAACTTTGTTGATATATCCAAATTATTTGGTCAATAATGTTTAGTCGCACTGCCAGTTGTGCGGACACGTATTGAAACAATATTAATCTTTTTACTCCGCTTACAAACTGAAAATGCGTCCCACCCTCGGCTTCTGGTGACTGGCCCTGTAAAGTGAACAGACAATGGATATGAATGCTGATGAAAGTGTAACTCTTTACTGACCTTTGATGTAATAAACTTGGTTGGCCCGAGGTCCACCTTCGCCATCTGGCCTACAATCAGACGATCTGCCGTACTTGCTGAAGGTCTTAGCAGCCAAGGAACTAGAAGCGCACCATCCACCATTCTGAACTGCAAACATGCTGTAACCCGCACTCATGGCCGCCACGGCGCACTTTGAAGTAGGATTTCTTCGATACCAGTACTCCACATCCAGGACAGAATCTCTTCCTTCCAGAGGCTGGATTGCACGATCCGAGGTGTCTCGATAACATCCAACGCTTTCATGATCTAAAACCAACAACAAAGAAGGAAATAAGTTACATTCATTTTGTGACAAATAAGGTCTATTTTCTCGTTAGAAAACGCGTTTTATGTATTTTAAGCAAAGTTACTCCTCTTTCGAGAGATTTGTTGTTTTTGTTTTTGTTGTTGTTTTGTGTTGTTTTGTTTGTATTTTTGTTTGTTTACTGGGTTTTTTTTCTTTTTTCTTTGCATGGATTCTTTACTTCAGAGACTTCTTGTTCTTTCAAACTATTTCTCCTATAAAACTTACTGGAACAAAGACAAAACTGACCCATGGAAAAAAAAGTGAATTCCATGAATTCACTTTTTACAATTCCTAATTGTAACCCTAAACCCCTAAACCCCAAAAGTAACTTTGTAACCAAATGTTCCTGTTATGGTGACTTTGAGCTAACCTTTAATGTAATAAACTTGATTGGCCCAGGGTCCACCTCCTCCATCTGACCTGCAAGCAGATGATCCGCCATACTTGTTGAACGTCTTAGCAACCGTAGAACTTGACGCACACCATCCACCATTTTGAACTGCGAACATGTTGTAGCCTGCTCTCTTGGCAGCCAAAGCGCACTTCAAGATAGGATTTCTCCGATTCAGGTAATGTCCATCCAAGACGGAATCCCTTCCTTCCAGAGACTGGATTGTTCGATTTGAGGTGTCTCTATAACATCCAACGTTTTCGTGGTCTGAAAAACAAAAACAACACCAACGAAAAGCAGACAAAAAATAAACAAACTATAAAAATATCAAAAGCAAAGCAGCAATATATGAAAGTGACAAGAATTCTTCTTTTATTATTTGGCCAGAGACCACTTTAATTTGAGAGGACCAATGACCCAAGTTATTATGCTTAGGTCACAACAAGAGCGACTTTTTATGAAAATAAAATCGATCTCTTCTCATTCTCCAACAAGAGCTTCCTCAATCTGAATGACAACTTTGAGAGTACTATATTTACAGTTAAGGTGACTTTGAGCTGACCTTTGATGTAATAAACTTGATTGGCCCAGGGTCCACCTTCGCCATCTGACCAACAAGCAGACGATGGGCCATACTTGTTGAACGTCTCAACAGCCAATCTGCTTGATGCGCACCATCCACCATTTTGAACTGCGAACATGTTGTAGCCCGCTCTCTTGGCAGCCAAGGCGCACTTCAAGATAGGATTTCTCCGATCCAAGTAATGTCCATCCAAGACCGAATCCCTTCCTTCCAGAGACTGGATTGTTCGATTTGAGGTGTCTCTATAACATCCAACGTTTTCGTAGTCTAAAAAAAAAACAACAACAACAACAAAAACAGAAGGAAAATTGGATCTAAAAAAGAAAAAAACAGGAAAACAAATGACTTCGTGTTTCTTGTTTTTTATCACTATTATTAACATTAGTAATAACCGCTTTTACGTAAAATGAACATAAACCCAAATTATTATACTATCTTTTTTTTTCAAGGGTTCTATTTTCAGACTTCCCTTTAGAATTGTTTGGAACAAAAGAGAAAAGTTGGCGAACCAAAAAGCAAAGGCAATATCTCAAGCAGTATCATCCGTGACATTTGAATAAGAAAAAGGTATACAGGTATGAATTAATATTCTCCTATTACATCCACGCTATTTTCAGAATCGTCTTCTTGGAATCGCAACTTTGTTAACATTATACGATTGTTGTATAGGCATTAGCTAACCTGTTATGTAATAGACTTGATTACCCCAGGGTCCACCCTCTCCATCTGATCTACAAGCGGATGATGGGCCATACTTGTTGAACGTTTTAGCAGCAGTGGGACCAGATGCACACCAGCCACCATTCTGAACTGCAAAGACCTGGAACCCTCTTCTTTTGGCTGCGGCATAGCATTTCGCAACAGGGTTTTGCCTTGTCCAGTAGTTGCCATCAAGGGTTGGATCTTGTCCTTCAAGGGTTGGTATAGCACGGTCACCGCGATCTTGGTAACAGCCAATTGACTGGTAATGATTCGACAATGCTGCGAAAATTAACAAGCGTTGTGGAGTGAAATGGAAGTTTGACATTCGCACTCGATACACAGTTGAGTTCTCTCCTTTTGTGATTTCTGGCTTAGAGCCACTTGCATATTTCGTTTCAGTTCTCGCCATGAAACTACGAAAGATAGTAGAAGACGATAAGCATTCCACAATCATTTCAGGATCGCGCGCGATTTTAAAAACAAAATTTTTCCATGCAGAAAGATCTTAGTATTACCGTTTAGCCAGCAAACTATGCAGATCCGAAAGTACAATCTTTTCAGTTCTTGCCGTGACACTGAAAAGTACGATAAGCATCTCAAAATAATTTCACAGTGGCATCCTCCGTCGCACAGTTTAAATTAAAACTTTTCCTGGCAGAAATATCTCAATGGATATGATTTGCACATCATGGAAGCTGTTTTGGCCGAAAAGAACCGCTAAATTTGCGAGGCGCGCAAGCAGCAAAGAGTACCCTTGGATTGGAGGAATAGTGGATCGGCGGAATTACCGAATATCTTAAGACGGGGAATCGCGGAATATCCTAGAACGCGGACCGCCTTTTGATATGAAACAAAAGTATCAAAAAAATTAATGCAATAAAATGGGAAAAATATTCATAATGAACATGAGAAATAAAAGAAGCAAGGTTAATCATTGTTGCAGCCATGGGTGTAGAATTTAGCACTCTTTTCATTTTATTTCAGTTTATTATTCCCTGGGGAATACGTTTTGTTTTTCTTTCCCGTGTTCGCTATAATTTACATGTTGTAATATTCTAGCTTTTTAGTTTCATCGTTGATTTCATCGAGAGAACATCTGGTTTAGAGTTGCCCTTTTTCGCGGCCTACAGCGCCGATACAATGTAAGTTCCTAGTTATTAGGTTCGCTTTAGCCGCCTTTCAATTTTATATTTCTGCATTTTGTAAACTTGTATTTTTGTTGGTTCTTCATTAGTTCAAACCTCTCTCTCCGATCGAGCGTTTGAAATCATTGCTGTAAGCGGCCACGAAAGACACGCCTTTTGGCAGTAACAAGGAGGATTTGGAATCATGAGGCTTCCGAGCCAGCCCCTTTAAATCATTATTGTATTACCATTGCTATTACTATTATTGTTAACAATATTGCTGGTTACTATTCAATTATTGGTTGAATGTCAATTAGACAGTATAATCTTCAATCATCTTTCGCTAGTGGAACTGGGTACTCATAAATATGTGGGATGCGGTAAGTTTTTTGTTTTGCATAAGGGACAAATATTCTGCAACACTTCTTCCTAACGCTATTAAATCGATTATACAACCACTAGTTCTTTTTAATGCTATGGTAATTGTGCTTAACATCGTGCAGTCTTTGATTGCCTATTTTTTTCTAAATTAAGGCAAACCCCATGATCTTTTGCTCTTGTCTAACGTTAAAGTAAGCGAGTTTCCCAGTTTTGAGTTCTTCGGTCGGAATGAGAAAATGGTTTCAAAGAAGCAGCGAGCCTCGAAACGCCAGCATTAGGTTAGTGAGGCGGGAAATAAGAGATAAATAGCTAGAAATTGGTGCCGATAAGGGGGCGCTGATAGCACTTAACGTCCGCGTACTCCTCAAATTTGAAAAATGATGCCTGATACAAAGGAAGAACGTCAAGAATTTCGTCAAATTACATGTCTTCGTGTCGTGTTGTTTTCACGGAAATTGGAGGGCAACTCATTACAAATGATATAAACGTGATGGCGTGATTCGATTGGAAACCTTAACGTGACTTGTCACATCTGACAAGGTCAGGCACAAATAAATATTATATCAGTCTAGGGGCATTTTCAAGAGCCCATTGAGAAGGTTAGGTTATTAATTGAGGAGAAAAGCGTTTAAAATGCAGTCTATGAATGAAGTGAATACATGATTGCTATAGAAAATTTTACCATGTTAGGTCCAAAATTACATTTACCTTGGTAGACTGTTTTAAAGTAAGTTGTTCTCTTTTTAAGAAACATCATGAATATGCGGTAAAGTGAAATAACAACCAATAACTATTTGGCGCTTGTCACTAGTTCAACTTGCTGGCGCGGTTGCCGTGTAAATTGAAACTGAGAGAAATAACAAATCAAATTCTTATTACCTATGTACACTGAAAAACATAGGGCTTTTCGCGGCCACAAATGCAACCATAAAGACTGAATTTCATCACTAATCTCAAGCACCAAACTACCGCAGCAGTCTAAAACGTAAATCGACGCACAGAATACTCACCAACTTGCACAAAGCTCAAAACGATCCCACAGGAAAAGACGGCGGCGAGGTGGAAATGATTCTTGGACATATTTTGGTCGATATCTGTTATAATGGACGGAAAGATATAAAATTAATAGCTTATTTTTCCCCGATTCACAGCATCGACCTGGTTTTCAAATTGTACAAACTATACATCAGTTTTGAATTCTCCAATCCAATAATTTAGTTCGCTAGTAACTGAATTTTGTATATGTTTCCCAGTGAGAGCTGAAGTGCGTATTCTATCCTATAATTTCTGGCAAGCTTACTTTACGAGGTCAAGTTACACTGACGCTGAATTAAACCTTTCCAATTTTACACGCCTCGTCTAAGCCTTTGACGACTTAAATAATGTGGAACTCATTAGGAATCGATCACAGATTTTGATATGTTCAAACTGTATACATCTGCGGGGGTGGGTGGTGCTTGTTCAGTTGTTGTTGCTAAGACTCACTCCTGCTGTCCTTAAAGTAAAAAGGCCTGAATAAGCAAAAGCGTGGAAGCCTGTAGGTAAGTACGGATTGAGGAGGATGGTAAGTTTTGTTCTTGTTCGTGGAATAAAGAAAGACGTTATTCATTTTTCACGAACGCGGAGCAAGACTACCCCAAGAGGATTTCAACTTGAATTTTCAGATTTCGCGCTCCGAAGCTCTACCACTGAACAAAGGAGAACTCATTTCAGTTGATCTTTACGCGACATGCCAAAGAAGGGCTGCGAAGGAGACCACATTAATTCAAACCAAAGTGAAATCGTGCCACTGATCGGAAGGTTAAAAATTCTCTTACACAGACAAAGATCTTCACAAATTTCTCCGAGCAACCCGAGGAAAATGTCAATAGAACCTCATCTCGGGGCATTAGCGACTTGTAGCCATTTTGTATCTTTCTGTCTCTGCTTAAAAAATGTGTTGTGTATCAATAAAGGCTGATAGTTTCGAAAGAAACTGTTTGGGGCTGCGTCGGTGGGAGTAACGAAATAATTTGGAGATATCAACAAAGTTGAAATGGTAAATTGGCCACCGTAACGATTACAAAAGCTGACGTTTCGAGCGTTAGCCCTTCGTCGGAGTATCAAGTCTGCTTACTCTCAGTTCTTACCTTTCCCGTTGACCGCTGATAGTACACAATTCAAATCTCTCGGGATTTGTAACTTAACAATCCTGTTGTAATTTTTGTACCTGAAGCTTCGACGCTATACAAAAAGTATACAAATAAAATTTATTAGGCACGACTGTCAGCAAATAGCCTACTCGAAAGCCAATCAGAATTAGCCATGCTGAACCTCAATGGGACCTTCCTCGGGAATAAATCGTCATTCTTAAGACAGCCGCGCGCTTTTTTCAACTAATTAGAAAGTTGCTAAAGGCGCTACATGCTAGTCAGAGTGTATTTTTCTCTTCCCCAGGAAACTGAAGCTTAAATTGACACAAACAATATCCACATTGATCCTGGCTCATTATGAGCTGATGGCAAATTTTTCCTAAGGCTAGATCAAGCTTCTTGGTTACTTGGATGAAACTAACTGAGAAGAAATGGAACACGAACCTTAAGAACTGAACCTTAAGAATCTAAGAGTTGAACCTTGGGAGCAACACTGCGAACACTTGTTTTATATTCTAATTTGCTACCCCGCTCAAACGAATATTAAACATTTATCATTCAATAGGTAACCACAATTGGAGTGCGTCATCACGAGCCGTATATATGCGACCCTCTTTATTTTGCCTTCATCAACAAAATTGATAGGAAGAATGGTACATCAACGGAATGAAAACTCGGAAATGTAAAAAATAAAGCAAAAACAAAACACCCTACAAAACAAACTAAACTATGTTCGTATATGCAAAAAACTACTTCTAAGAGAAACTGACAATCCCTAGTCACTGGGTAATTCATTTTGAGGGTGTAGGGGCGGTCTTAAGTCGCGAATGAATATAAATGACAATAGCTCGAATACGTAGCCTACCGCTAATGGAGCAATTGTAACAACATACCATGCAACACCCCGAAGAAGGGGTTACGTAACCCATGATAAATACATTTATATTCGAATTCGCTACCCCGCTCAAACGAATATAAAACATTTATCATTCAATAAGTAACCACAATTTGGGTGTGTCAACACGAATGCCGAACTAAAAGAACGGGAAAACTGGAAAATTAAATACCCAGTGACAACGAAACCGACAACGTGGATTGAACATTATCGTTAAGGTAGCCGTCTTTTGCCTTGTCTGATTTCCTTCGCTCCGACGAAGGGCTAACGCTCGAAACGTCAGCTTTTGTAATCGTTACGGCGGCCAATTTACCATTTCAACTTTGTTGATATATCCAAATTATTTCGTTACTCCCACCGACGCAGCCCCAAACAGTTTCCTTCGAAACTATCAGCCTTTATTCATTTGATTTCCAACGGCCGTGTCTTTTAAACAATCTGTCAGGAATTCGCACATTAGCAATAGCGGAAGCTCCTCCAGCTCTAAGACAATGTAGACTGTAGTCTTTTTTGGGAAGGTCAGTGGAATCGAAAGCGCTAAGTACTATCTCCCGCGCTCTAGTATAAGACAAAGGAACGGAGCCATGAAATTTATAAGCTCCGGCAGCCCGAAGGAAAACGAGCGGGCGAAAAATTAACTCTTCGCTGTCTGCTGGAAAAGAAGCGGCCACAAAATATCGTTGAATCAATAAGCAAGGACAAGTATGCTTCAAAAGTTTAGCGAAAACAACCCAAGCCCCGTCTCTGTAAATGTCAGTCTTACTTGGATGAGCAAAGATTCTCATAAAAGAATCTTCAAATTAAAAACCACACCTGCGCAACTGAACCAACTCGTTGAAGAGAAAGAACCCCGCATCACTTAAAACACACAAAGTAAGCACTCGTAAATCAGACAAACTAGCGGTAGAAGATCCATACTTAGCAAATAAAAGCTGAATGGCCTCAGGGGTCACAGGCTCTTTCTTTTTAACAGGAACACTGAGAGGCCTTTTAGCACATTCTTTTAGAAGGAAAACCAACGAGGAATTACAGGGGTCGGGTAGGCCTGACGAATCATGCACCCACTTGAGCCCATAATGGACTTCATCAATAGTACTGCAAGAAGCACATTCCTGAATCAAGGTAAGAAAAAACAATGAAACATATACACTGGAAGCAGGAAATATTACACTTTCCTTAAACTGAGAAGCCCATTTTCTCCAAGTATCGAAACCCCTTTTGTACTTTCTCGCGGTACTGTCGGCTTTGGACTTGAGAAGAACTGTAGGAAGATCTTGAAGCAGCGCCCGGAGTCGCTTGTCTTCAGCTTGTTGAAAATTAGGCTGCAACGCATCTCTGAGAACTTCTACAGGGGCAAGAAGAAAAATACATAGCAAAATTCTACCATACACCACTGACCAGGTGCAAACTATTCAGGGCCTTGTGGGCCAACTCAAAAACGAGAATAAATAAGCCACTCGGCGTGCCAGTTTCATGCGAAACAGGAACAAATGAAGTGAAGCCACTCGACGTGAAAGAACTAAGGCCCCTTAGCGCCAATTCTGACTGCCAGGACCGCGCTGTTAAACCTGTCTGAACCAATGAGTAATTCTTGATAGCATCCAAGGGCAAAAATCCCTGATGGGTCCGGAAAATGAATGTATGCAAGGACGTACGGTTAGCATTCAACTGCACTTGTAAACAAGAAAGGATAAAACGCATTAGCCGGCCAATAAGGGACGACTTAAGTTCCAACCGTACCGCATACAAGGAAATGCTGAACCGCCCTAGTAATACAGTGGACGGGAGGGACTAGCCAATTATTCTCTCCATTCCAGGAGATTGAAAATGGGTCCACAGTTTCAGTGCCGAATGCGCGAAACCTAGAATTGAATCTGGGGAGGTGGGCGTTGGCAGCATTCGTAAACTTGTCGACTGTATGTGGGCCCCAGAGGTAGTTCAAGTGTGTGAAGAACTCTGTGTTTGTATACTAGTCATCGAAATCTACAATACGGCTTAACGCATAAGCACAAACATTAAGTTCCCTGGGAACCCACTGGAGAATTAGTGCAATATTTTAAGTTAGACAAAAATAGAAAATATCAAGGGTATTAGATATACAATTCTGCACTAAGACTCTCTATCTCCACAATGTGAACAGCCCCTTGGTTGTCAGAATGCTGTTTTACACACCTACCCCGGACCAAGGCTTTGAATACACTTAGGCGAATTGTATAGCCTTAAGTTCTCTCCGGGTAGAGCTCTTAGCTGCTCCACAAGCAGTCCACCTACGATGAGACACTTCCTTAGTCACCACAGCAAAAGCCCCACAGGCCACGTTGCTAGCGTCCGAGAAGCTAATCAAAAGAGGAGCATCATATGACAAAATAGCTCTCACATTAAGACTAATGATATTACTTTTCCAGAAGAATATTTCAGAAAGACAATCATTATGAAGCCCAATATTGAGAGGGGAATCCCAAGTACACCTGGGTTCTTTACGGTAAAGAAAGCGGGTTTTGAGATGAGTCAAATTACCCAAAACTGACGACATGGACATAACATGGCCTACGATAACGGCGCAATCCCGAGCCGTAACATAAGGTGCGGATAGACACGATAGAAGACATTTGTCAATCAGATAAATAAATTTGTAAATTTGTCTATCGTTAGAGAAATAGAGCCGTTAATTAAGTCCCACTTTAAACACAACCACAAACATGTACCTGAGTGGGATTCCATAGTGATTTGGCGGAGTTGGCAACAAACCCCGTACTACTTAAGGACGATTGTACAAACAATGAATGTTCCTTGGCCATAGGCAGTGAATCCATTTTACCACATCCATCATCGAGGAACACAACAATTTTAATCCCGTCAGACCTCCAAAAGTTAACGAGCGGTCTAAGGCACTTGGTGAAGACGTGTGGGGCTGAGGTAAGGCAATTGGTGAAGACGTGTGGGACTGAGGTAAGGCACTTGGTGAAGACGTGTGGGACTGAGGTAAGGCACTTGGTGAAGACGTGTGGGACTGAGGTAAGGCACTTGGTGAAGACGTGTGGGACTGAGGTAAGGCACTNATAGAAGACATTTGTCAATCAGATAAATAAATTTGTAAATTTGTCTATCGTTAGAGAAATAGAGCCGTTAATTAAGTCCCAGTTTAAACACAACCACAAACATGTACCTGAGTGGGATTCCATAGTGATTTGGCGGAGTTGGCAACA